GGCGTGTTTGTAGCTTGTCTCCCCCCCCCGCGGGGGGGGGGGAAAGGGGCGCCGTCTGCTCTGATCATCAGCCCTTTTTACACCCCCTGCATTCAGTGGGGCACCCAGGGTGTGAACTGAGCCAGGAACTGGACCCAGTGCATGCTAGTCATATTTTGAAAAGCACCAAAGTCACTTTCAATGTCAATGAGTCTCAGTGGGACTCGGGCTCCTAAGTGATTTGCTGCCTTGGGAAATGTCCCTTAACAAAGTGCCAGGCCAAAATCTACAGCCCTTTTTACACCCCCTGCATTCAGTGGGGCACCCAGGGTGTGAACTGAGCCAGGAACTGGACCCAGTGCATGCTAGTCATATTTTGAAAAGCACCAAAGTCACTTTCAATGTCAATGAGTCTCAGTGGGACTCGGGCTCCTAAGTGATTTGCTGCCTTGGGAAATGTCCCTTAACAAAGTGCCAGGCCAAAATCTACTCTGTTTCTTGCTAGGCATTTCTTCCCTGATTTATTATGGTAGCATCCAGTCAAGATCAGGGCCCCGTTTTACTAGGCATTGTACACATGAATAGTGAGAGACAGTTCCTGCCACCAAAGAGTTTACAATGTAAATAGACAAAGTGTGGGAGAGGGGAATGATATAAAGAGAGAAGTGACTTGCCCAAGGTCTTACAGTAGATCAGCGGCAGAGGCAGGAATAAACTTAAAAATGAGGTCAGAGTAGCTCTGTTGCTCAGAGATGTAAAACATCCACTCCCCTGAGCATCACTGCTGTACCAAAGTAACCCCAGACTAGATGTAGCTAGGTTGATGGAGGAATGATTCCACTGACCTAGCTTACAGCACTCAGTGAGAAGTACCTACAGCAATAGAAAACTTCTTCTATTGGCATAGGCTATGTCTACACCTCTGGCTTATGCTGGTATACTAACTCCACCATAAACTTCCTGGCTCCCAACTTAGCTCCATAGCTGCTAGCCATACTGCCTTTCAAATCACACCAGAGTAACTGAGAACAAACTTTGACTCAGTTGTCTATATGTGCTATGGATTCTTTTAAGATGGAAAGACTTTTAGAGAAGTTGTTTTAATTATTTTACTTTAAAACTAGTTAATTGTCTAGGAGCTTCTCTTGTTCTCATTTTTTTCCCTTTCAGTTTTTAACATTCTGACTCATTTTTCTATGTTTTTGTTGCTCTCTATGTTTTTCTCTTTCCCCTTTATTTCTGTCTCTATTTTTCTTCACTCTGTATTTCTTTTCTTTCTACACATTCCTGGAAGCTACAAGAGTAACACATCTAAAAGGAAACCATCATCTTAAAGAGCATATTTCTGGCTGAAATTTTTGTATTTTCCATACCAAAAAGTACTTTTCAAGATAACTATAAGTGAAATAAGTTGGCAACAGACAAATGTTTTTCACTTTTTTAGTTTGCTTACTTTGTCCACTTGACAACACTTTCTGTAAAATCAATTTCTCTTTGTCCCTGTAGTCAGTGTCTCCTTTATTGAAACAACCCTTACCAACTTCAGTAGAGGAGCAGGAAAAAAAAGTATTTTATAGTATCCTGTTAACTATCAAACATCCTGTAGAACAGGGATTTAGAATTTACCATGCCAGACCATTTGATTAGTCCATCATGAAAGCCTGACATATAGTCTTTTAATTAACACCAGACATGCCCCAACATTAAGACCCCAAATGAACCAAAAACTAACCAAACAAATATTCTATATTTAAGATACTTAGCTGGCTAGTTATGCAGTGTGGAGAGTTTCCTTCCTTCTTAATCTTTACAGGTGATTTATGACAGTGAAATATGAGATATGTATTTGTTTTCTTTTTAGTGACTACACTTTAAAAAAAATCCATATAAAAATCCATCTGTCCGTATTTCCAATTCTGCCAATGCTGTTAAGAACAAGAAACCATTATTATTTATGGATTATTTTGAATGCTAGTTAATTTTGTGGAATTCTACTGGGATAACAGCTATGGAAACTCCCTACAGCCATCAGACACTTTTGACCCTCTCACTATTGGTAATACCCAAGAAAACAGCTCAAGGAATGTAGCTGTGGATGATAGTCCTTGTAAATTATTACTGGATGCCATAACCTGAGCTTAATGAGTTCTTTAATACTTTGTACTCAGCAACATTGCCTTAAGGATATGTCAGTCTGTTTTTCCATGCTATTTTCCAATCTGTAATTATCTAAGCAGCTGGTGATGGAATCTCTGAAGCCCACAATCTTGACATCACATCTGTTGAATACTTGATTTGTGACATATGCCTTAACCTTACACAACAACATCTCAGAGCACTCCAAAAGCAAATAATATTGGATCACAATTTCAGTGAAGGGCTACTTCTATATTAATAATAGGTTTTCACAATCTTCCTTAGTCTGCAGTCATGAGTGAACTCATAACCCCTCTCCCAAATGTTGCTGTCCAGTCCCCTGCATTTCTTGATTCAGCATTTTTAAATCATATCCTAATTCCTTATCTTTGGTGCTTCCTTATACTTTTCCTAATTATCTGGCTTTTCTCCGATCCTTATTTCCATCCCCAAGAGCACAGGATTTTGACTCGTGGTTGTGCTGCAGAAGAGGTTGAATGTATATGGGAGTGGAAGTAGAATGGGCAAACTGTCTTACAGAAAAGCTATCACTGCATGTCTTTTCACAACTTCTAGCTAAGGCCTGATGGGCATTTTACCTCTGCTTGTGCTACCTGATACTACAGCTGCAGGTAAAGTGAGGGAGCATGGAAAGTAGGAATGTGTTCACACCCATCCATCTCAAAGATGTTTGTGATCCAGGCAGTCACCAGTATTTCTCAGCATAACAATAGTCTTGGACTGTTCAGTCAAGATTTTCAATACTGATAAATTTGAAATTGACTCCGAGGCATAGGTTTTGAAGGAGATGCCCTAAAATGAAGCAGTCACTGGTACGGTTCAGTGTCCTACAGGTACAGTTGAGTCAGCTCAAAATATATTCAGGGATGCCTTTGAATGGTCTGTTTGGCTGTTCCCTTTGTCATTGATGGAATAGCCACAAGTAATAACCTTTGACTAAGCCACAGCTGTTGAGATGGGCCTTGTATCCTTGTCACGGGACGGCTTTTCTTTTTCCCCTCCCAGGCCTACCATCCGCTCTGAGCTCTACCCCAGGCTGTAGCCTGGCCCTGACTCTAGGGCCTGATGGACTGCTCAACCAGAACTGGTCATACAGGAAGGCTCAATGGCCCTTTAAAGCAGGGTCCGCTGACCCACTGGCCAGAGTCAATAGCTGGCCCTTTTAGGCAGGGTTTGCTGGTCCCTTAGCCAGAGTCAATATGCAAAGTCAATAGCTTTAAGGCAGGGCTCACCAGCCCACTGGCCAGAGCCAATACACAAAGTCACGCGTAAGGGCTACATCCCTGGTAGGGAACCCGGGCCCACCCTACTCCATCAGGTCCTGGCCCAGGGCCCTGTGAGTGGCAAGGGGACTCACCACTCTCTCGGCAGGGAATCCGTCTGAAATGTGCAAAGGATTCCAGGGCAGGAGAGGCAGTTCCAGTCCCCTTCCTGGGCCACTTCCTACCTGGCCTGGCAAGATAGCGTCCCATGTGCTTGCCAGGTCTACTACTTCCCTGGGGGCTGCTTCTCCCTCGTAGGCTGCAGGAGTGACATCCCAACTGGCTCCCGAGTTTCTGCTGTCTTCCCTTGGATCAGCTGGCTGGTGCTGGTCAGGCGCTCCCCTCTGAAGTCCTTCCCCTCCAGGAGTCAGCCCAGACTGAGCCTCCCTCCAGGCTTTTATACCTGGGCTGCAGTCTGAGCATGCCCAGCAGAGGTGTGGGAGCAGGGCTTCTTCAGCCAGGTGGGTCTGATTAGGCTCAGCCTTCACAGTGTGTGGCTGGTACACCCCGTCACAGTCCTACACAGAGGAAGTTGGAACAGTATCAGGTAGAAAAGACCTGCTTAACGGATAACTAGTATGGAACCTCTTGAAGAAGAACTATAACTTTTAAAATCAGAATAGTTGCCCATGCTGCTGCTTCCTAATGTGGTGAAAGAACTAGATGGAGAAAAATAGTATAATGAACCACAATCCGGAACTGACAAGGGAGTGTTCCTATGTGCCTTTTTCAGAAGAAAAGAGACATAACTATTTGTGCGTGGATCTAAGGGCACATCTACACAGCAGGGCAACAATTGAATTAAGCTACGCAACTAGAGCTGCATCAGTTGTGCGGCTTAAGTCGAAATAGCTTAATTCGGCTTTTGGCACTGTCTTTCCTTACTCCTTGTAAAATGAGGGTTACAGGAGTTGGAGTAAGAAGTCTTCCACCTCACCATTACTTCAAAATAATGACTTGCTGTGTAGACACGCTCTTTGTTATTTCAGGATAATGTTAGTTATTCTGAAATAACTCTGCTGTGTAGACATAGCCTAAAAACATGTTTGGAGCAATAAGTGGAGAAAGGTACATTTGTTCCCATTATAGAAGGTACAATCTCAGAGTGAAATGCAAAATAGTGTCCATTTTCATTTGAACATTCCAAAAGATGTAGTCACTGATGTGTGATCACATTTTTACATGTATAGTTTATCTTCCAGCCTCCATTTCCTTCAAGATAATAGACTGGTGAGATAATAGACTGGGAGATGAAATACTAAGAGAATTCTTCAGCAAAAAGACCAGATGTTAATTCTCCTGATCATAGGGCAATCTTCAAGTCAGGCAACAGAGTAAGTCCTGTTCATCTGGTTTTGGGTCCACACACCAGAGTAACAGTTAACATAACAAAATGCTTGTTCTTGGAGGCCCTGCTAAAAAAAGAGATGTCAAATCTAAAAGAACTCGTCAAATCTAAGAGATGTCAAAGCTAAGAGAACTCGCGCTTTTTTCTTTAACTATTGAAAAGCAGCCCAGAGTTACCCCCTGCTTAAATTCTAGAATCAGCCCTGAAAAAACTGGATGAAGAAAAATGTTGGACAATGCTCATTTTTTTCACTGATGTAATTTCACTCTAAGATTCTATAGTTTAGAAAGATCGAGGCATTAAGTACAGAAGAAACTGTAGACGTGTTGAGCTTGTTCTAAGCCAAGTGTAAATGCCATGTGACCCTCATAGCAAAATGGTACTTGCACTTGAGCCATAGAGAATGGAAATAATTTTTTGAATAGTGTTGTATTTAACAGGAATTCCCACCTTTGAAATATATTTCAAATTAATTGAACTAGCTAATACCCTTTTCAACTTCAAAAGATTATCAAATGTGGATAAGTAGAGAAGTTGGTGTTTTATCTGAAAGTATATTATTTGCTGTTGAATATTCTTGCTAAAGATTGCTCATATGGGGGAGAAAGTGATAACGTGTACTGTTTCTTTAAATCTGTAATGGATAGGAAGAAAGGGATGTTTGGACATTGTCTAAGCCAGTAATACTCAGACCTCAGTGGGTTCAGGAGTCAAATGAGCAATCACCATTACCAAAAAGAGCCAGGCTACGTCTACACTGGCCCCTTTTCCGGAAGGGGCATGTTAATTTCAGCTATCGTAATAGGGAAATCCGCGGGGGATTTAAATATCCCCCGCGGCATTTAAATAAAAATGTCCGCCGCTTTTTTCCGGCTTTTAGAAAAGCCGGAAAAGAGCGTCTACACTGGCCCAGATCCTCCGGAAAAAAAGCCCTTTTCCGGAGGATCTTATTCCTACTTCAAAGACTTCAAAGTAGGAATAAGATCCTCCGGAAAAGGGCGCTTTTTCCGGAGGATCGGGGCCAGTGTAGACGCTCTTTTCCGGCTTTTCTAAAAGCCGGAAAAAAGCGGCGGACATTTTTATTTAAATGCCGCGGGGGATATTTAAATCCCCCGCGGATTTCCCTATTACGATAGCTGAAATTAACATGCCCCTTCCGGAAAAGGGGCCAGTGTAGACGTAGCCCCACTGTAATATGAACTTACTATTTCAGTTACTATCTACTATATATCTGAGAGAGTTTGTCTGTCCATCTGTCCATCTGTTTATTAAAAAACTCCTCCTAAATGGTAAGAGCATGGAACACCAAATTAAATATACAGCTTCCTCTTATCATAAATTAAAGCAACAGAAGTGTTTGGTTGTGCCAGGAAAATGGAATGTGCCTGGAATGGGATTCTTTGTGATAAAACCAAACAGAAAACAGACAGAATCACCAAATCAAGTGCAGCCCTCCAAATTGACATAACTGAATGAATGTTGAAAAAGGACTCGGGAAGGGCAGAGGTTCTGGTCAGGCATTCAAAGTGCCACCTCTGCCCATTGGCTGCAGCACAGAGCTGCCAGAGCAGCTCCATTCTGAGCTGCTGGGGGGCTGTGCCTCTCCCCACCACCCAGTTGTGGTAGCTCTGTGCTGGGGCCAGAGAAGGAGGTGCCACATCTGCTCCATGCTGGGGCCAGAGGAAGGAGCACCTTTCCCCCAGCCACGGGACCTAACCCAGAACTATCCCAGAGCTGCCACTGTTGGGGGACAGGTGGTCCTTCTGTGGCTCCCACCCAGCCTAACCTGAAACTCCCCCAGACAGGGGGTATGCACCCATCTCCTAGCTATGCCCGCTGATGATGCAATTCTCACCTGACCTCAAGGTGCTGTGAAGAGAGAGGGCTGAGCTAGTCCTTTCTCCCCAGGGCAGCCTGCATACTGAACCCCTCATGCACAGCCCCACCCCATAGCAATGATTTACATGAAGCATGTACATTTTCATTTTATTTTCCAAAAACCAAAAATTAATTGAGTTCAGGACCTCCTCATGCTCTCCACTAATCTCATAGCTGTTAGCCCGAAAGCCTTGTCCCCAACATTTTTTTCCATCTGGGACACCATTCAGATATCTCTTCTGCATTGACACTGTATCTTATTTAAAATACTTTTGAAATTACATAATAACCTTCATGCCTGTTCTTTTACAATTCTTTTATTTTTCTTCCATTGTTATTTATGTCTGCAGTGATATTGCTTACGTGCTTGAAACATTTTGTATCTCAGTTTGTGTCACTGTCAATATAAAGAATAAAAGTGATTAGTGAATACTTTATAAAGCAGAGTAAATAGGTTAAGTTACACCTGCCACATTTGCTTTAAAATATGTTTTGATGATTCTAGTGTCTTGTAAAAATGTGTAATGCTGCATTTTTTTGTTGTTGTTTTCTCTTAAAGGAAATCATTGTAAGCTTGGTGTTTTGGAAATATGGAATCAATCTCTATGATGGGAAGTCCTAAGAATCTCAATGAAACCTTTTTACCAAATGGTATTAATGGTATCAAGGATGCCAGTAAGATCACAATTGGCATTATCGGAAGCGGAGACTTTGCCAAGTCCTTGACCATTAGGCTTGTAAAATGTGGGTATCATGTAGTCATAGGAAGCAGAAACCCTAAATTTGCTTCTGAGTTCTTCCCACACGTGGTTGATGTTACTCACCATGAAGATGCTGTAGCAAAAACTAACATCATTTTTGTTGCCATACACAGAGAACATTATGCCTCTTTGTGGGACCTCAAGCATTTACTTGTAGGTAAAATCCTTGTAGACGTGAGCAACAATATGAGAGTGGATCAGTATCCAGAATCCAATGCAGAGTATTTGGCCTCCCTATTCCCAGAATCTCTGGTTGTAAAAGGATTTAATGTCATCTCAGCTTGGGCACTGCAGTTAGGACCAAAGGATGCGAGCAGACAGGTATGTTTTGTGTTTGATTATATTTAGTGTATGTGCAGGATGAAAACTACAGTAACTGTAATAACTCCTCCCTGGTGTCAGCTGTCAGAACCAACACTGTGTTTTCCCAAAAACATTATTTTCAAAAAAAATTTCTTGACATCTAAACAATGCAAGAAGACACATTTCCTGTAATTCTTTGTTTTAGGTGTTAGTGATAGTATCAACTGTTGAACAGAAATCATGGGAAGTAAGTGGATGATCTAATCTGCTGTACGTTGAGAAAGATTGTGTGTCTGTCCATTTGTCTGCGAGTTTGTTCAATAAATCCTCCTAAACAGTAAGAGCTAGGACCACCACATTTGGTATGCAGCTTCCTTTTATCATAACTTTTATCATAACCATGCCCTCACTGCCCCAGCTCATCCCAGAGACCCACCACCCTGGCAGCATAGCCCCCGCCACCCTAGCCAGCCCTGTGTAGCTGCCACATGGACAGTGTGGTCCCCACTGCTCCAGTCCTGCTCGGAGCCCCTTTTCACTCTCCAGCCCTGACTCCTGCATCCCCCATACCTCCAGCCCCCTGCCCAGATCCCCCTCCTAAGGACCCAAGCAATGCTGAGCCAAGTGCTAGTTTAAAATTAAACAAAAGGTCTAGAAAACATGACCTATGAGGGAAGACTGAAAGAACTGGGCTTGTTTAGTTTAGAAAAGAGAAGACTGAGAGGGGACATGATAGCAGTTTTCAAGTATCTAAAAGGGTGTTATAAGGAAGAGAGAGAAAAATTGTTCTCTTTGGCCTCTGAGGATAGGACAATAAGCAACGGGCTTAAATTGCAGCAAGAGAGGTTTAGATTGGACATCAGGAAAAACTTCCTTCCTATCAGGCTGGCTAAACACTGGAATAAATTGCCGAGGGGGGTTGTGGAATCTCCATCACTAGAGATATTTAAGAGCAGGTTAGACAGACACCTGTCAGGGATGATCTAGACAGTGCTTGGTCCTGCTGTGAGGGCAAAAGACTGGACTCGATGACCACTCGCGGTCCCTTCCAGTTCTAGTGTTCTATGATTCTATTAAAGTAATTCACTTTCAAGATGGCAGCATGGATGTAAAAGCCATAGGCATTGTCTTGTAATACGAGGTGTAACAGTTAATCCAAACTAAGGATTTAGTTCAGATTAACTTTAAACTGCCGCATGAAGCCACGGGCAGTTCGTTTGAACTAAGGGGGATTTAAAAATGGCGGCCGGACAGGAACATGCAAATAAAGCCCAGGATATTTAAATCCCGGGATTCATTTGCAACTCTGGTTGCCTGATTTGCCTACCCACCTCGAATTAACGAGCTAGCGTAGACATACCCTAACCTGGCACAGCACCAAGAGCCAATATTGAGTTTCTGAATCTGTAATTTAGAAAACAACCATCTATCAATTTTTCAGCTGAGTAAATTGATATAGAATCAGTGTAGTATCATTTTTACAGAGACACTTTTCAGAGTGGAACTGTGCTGTAGGTCAAAGTTGCACTCAAAGCCGATCATCAATGGGTTAATAAGATGATCAGATGTCATCATGATGGAGAAATTATATGACTGTAGGTAACAAAGGAGCAAAATCTAGCTCATTGTTTATATTGTGTAACAGCACACTTTTTAAAATATAATGAAGTAGCCTTGGTTCTTGTTCTATTTTTTTTTCTTTAATATCTTACTAAGCCATCCATCCCTACATTTTTAGGAACCTGAGCTGTGAAATACACTCAAATTATTATAGAAAGTCTGATTAGTTAAAAAATTGAGATCATGTGAGTTTTCTGCTTTGGTTTGGTTTGATTTGTTTTTTTATTTGTTTGTTTTTGGGGTGGGGTTTTTTGTTTGTTTGGGGTGTGGTTTTTTGTTTGTTTGGGGTGTTTTGGTGTGTGTGTGTGTGTGTGTGTGTGTGTGTGTGTGTGTGTGTGTTATTGCACCTGTGCTAGGCCATTGGGAAAGCTTTCTGTATTTTTAAGTGACTCATTAATTTCTAACATGATTTTAGCCATTAGCCCAAAGTTCATTTTAACCCTATTGTCATTTTAATGTTGTGAATACTAGGCATCTTGAAGCCAGTTTATATTAAATCAGATGATACATAGTCTTTTTGTTTAGATTAAACACCAAGGTGTTCATTTTTCATATTTTGATCTTGGCCTGAGTTGTTCATAGGTTAATTTTTCTGTTTCAGTTGATGTGCTGGTGAGGATGGCTAGTCTAGATCTTCATACTGTTACTTCCACCTGGCAGCCTGGAAATTGATTATCTTTAAAGGCTTCTCTGTGACTTCAAATAATCAATTTGATTTTTCCAACAGGTCTTTATATGCGGTAACAATGTTCAAGCTCGCCATCAAGTTATTGAACTTGCCCGACAGCTAAATTTTATTCCCATTGATTTGGGGGCATTGTCTTCTTCAAAGGAGATTGAAAACTTACCTCTGCGACTGTTCACACTGTGGAAGGGGCCAGTAGTGGTGGCTGTTAGTCTGGCTACTTTTTTCTTCATCTATTCTTTCATCAGAGATATAATACATCCATACGTGAGAAACCAGCAGAGTGACTTTTACAAGATTCCCATTGAGATTGTGAACAAGACTTTACCAGTTGTTGCTATTACTTTGCTGTCTCTGGTGTATTTATCAGGACTCCTGGCAGCTGCTTATCAACTTTATTATGGCACTAAGTATAGGCGACTTCCTCCCTGGCTGGAAAGTTGGTTACAGTGTAGGAAACAGCTTGGACTACTCAGTTTTTTCTTTGCTACGGTGCACGTGGCTTACAGCCTCTGCTTACCTATGCGGAGGTCAGAACGATACTTATTTCTTAATATGGCTTATCAGCAGGTAAGGAATGTACCATTTTTTATCTAATGACAGAAGAGTGAGTCAGAATTCCCTGATTGTATTTATATGACATTTATCAATATCTTTGAATACAATTTCAATGGAAACATGTTGGGGCTACATTGTGACTGCCTATTGGCCTATGGGGAAGAAGTACCAGGAGTCCCCTACCTTGTGGCAAGCCTCAGATGGGGTCAGCCACGATCAAGTTTCTACAGTAGGAGGAATCCAGCATTTCTTTCCTTCATTTATTACCCACCAGCAATGTTCCTTCTAATTTTTTCCATCCATGGGTGAAATAAATTTTGTTATGTGCACTGAGGCATGTACACCACCAGTAGAAACATATGCTGCGGGTTGTGGGCGCTTTGCTAATCAGCTGGGTGGCACTTGAATCTCTCCTTGGTGGCTGCCCAAGCACTCAGCTTACAGGGAATAATGCCCACTCGGCATGAACATTAACCGGGTGGGTGGCAGGATAATGGCAAAATTAGAAAAGCACTGTAAGTATCTGTCATCTTTGGATATAAGAGCTGAATGATAACTCAGAAGAAAGCTAAAAAGATCTAGCAAGTTGTTTTCATCTCTCTGGTTCCCAAGGGCACATCTATACAGCAACATTATTTTGAAGTAACTAGTGTTATTTCGAAATAACTTAGTCCGCGTCTACATAGCAGGCAATTATTTCGAAATAATGTCAAAATACTTTCAAGCTGGAAGACTTCTTACTCCAACTCCTGTAACCCTCATTGTATGAGGAGTAAGGGAAGTCGGAGGAAAAGTGCTCTATTTCCAAATACATGCTGTATAGATGCTCCCAATTTCGAAATAAGCTATTTTGAAATAGCTACACAATTGACGTAGCTCAATTTGCGTAACTTATTTCGAGTTAAGCCCTGCTGTGTAGACAGATTGCATGTGTTTTGGTCAGAAATATAGATACGTGTTGCTGAAAAGGCTTTTAAGGGTAGTCACACCAATATACAAACTATACACAGGATCTCTCACTGCATCACTGAAATGCAGATATCTTTGGGCAGAGGTGTGCCAGCTGTTTAATGCCATGCCATAGCATTACACAACACTAACACAGCAAAATCCTAAGGAAATGTGTGTTCCTACTAGGAAAAATGAAGACTCTGCATAACTTCACAGGCCAGTGTTAAAAAAATATTTTGTTTACAGGAAATTCTTGCTTTTCTATAGTTACTGGCAGGAGACATTGACTCAGAGTTCTGAGCAGCAGTTGGTTTTAAGTCAAAACAATTCCAGACAAAACAATCATCTTACACAGAAAGGTCTGCTTTTCCTAATCAAGCTGTCAGTGAGGTGTCTGTTTTCTGCTTCTACATTAGCATTTCATAAAGCAGGTTAGCTATCCAGCGTATGAAATCTGCAGAGAAGAGGGTCAATGCAGGAAGAAGCACTAGCTAGGCAAATCATACCATAATAATGGAACAAAATAAATGGGAACTTTAAAGACACAGGTGAATCCGGAGTTGCTATTTTGCTTCTTGATTGTTCAGAGACATTTCTCTGCCCCAAGAAGGCAGCTAAATCTGAAGACTTAGGCAGGAAGTGCCTGCAGTATCTCACATGGCACTGAAGGGGGAAGTACAAAGCAGTCCCGCCTCCCACTGATGAACACAGACTTTAGTAAGGAACCCTAATTGTTTAGCTTTACATACTTGTCAAAGGACTTGCTAGTACCTTTTGAAGAAGTTCTCATATCTTCTATAGTAATGTGAAAATCTCACGTCAGTATCAATGGTGGCCCATTGCAAGAATTGGCATGTACCGTGAAATTTCGAATATAATGCGCACTTTTTTCCCGGTTTTTTTTAGCATCAAAGTCGGGGTGCGCATTATTTATAGGAGGTTTTCTTTTAAAGTTTTAAACTCACCCTCAGCAGGCACGAGCTGGGCGGGGGGAAGGGGAGCCAGGCACATGCTGGGCTGGGGGAGGGGCCGGCAGACACAAGCTCCGCGTGCCAGCAGCTGGGCGGGGAAGACCCCCCCGGCAGGCACGAGCTCAGCGCACAGACAGCTGGGTGGGGAAGGCTCCCCTGGGAGGTGCAAGCTCAGTGTGCTGGCAGCTGAGTGGGGGACACTCCCCCGGCAGGCATGAGCTCAGCGTGCCTGCAGCTGGACAGGGGAGACACCCCCTGGCAGGCACAACTTTGGCACGTGGACATCTGGGCAGGGGAGGCTCCCCCGGCAGGTGTGAGCTCAGCTGGGCAGGGCGCCCCCCCCTCAGCAGGCACGAGCTCAGCTCGTGCGTGAGCTCAGCTGGGCAGGGGCCCCCGTGACAGGCACAAGCCCCTTCCTTCCTATGCATACTGTAAAATCTTGAGTATAATGGGGGTGCGCATTATAGATAAGAGTTTAGTTTATTCAAGAATTCTGACTTTTAAAAGGCAGATGCACATTATACGTAGGTACGCATTATACTTGAGATTTTACGGTAATTACAGATTTGCTAAACCCCAGGGAATTGGAAATCTGTAAGATTTAATTGAGTGTACAAGTGACTTGACAATTGAAGTGAATTGTTTCTTTCCTGTCATGAGGATGTCCAAGTTCATCCATCTTCCTTATTTCCGACATTAGAAACAGAAGAGACAGAGTAATTTTGGAATCAGCACAAGGAGTTGAAGCAATAAAAGGAAGTGATGATAATTTATTTTTTAAATTAAACAAAATAAAGACAACTGCAGACCCATCCATTTTATCATGTAGAACATAAATTGCTGATGCCTGAAAAGTGTAGGTATTTTGTGTAACAATGTGGATAATCTCTTCTGATTTCATCAGGTAATTTCTATAAACAAGCGGCACCTAATCAGTCAAGAATCACCTCTCATTTTTGTCACTGTTTCAACATATTTTTCAATCTAATATGTATCCAGAACTAGCAGTGATGGCACAGATAGTTTTTTTTTTCTCTAAGACATGAAGAAATCTCTAAAATACAGGCAGTCCCCGAGTTACGCGGTTCCGACTTAGGTCGGATCCGCAGTTACGAACGGGGTTTGCTGCTCGTCTCCCTGGTCTGCTGGAGACCAGCAGACCAGGGAGACAGGAAGCAAAGCCTCTGAGGACGCCGGCAGCGGGACAGCCGCGGCACATCTGGGCTGTCCGCTGCCCGCGTGCTCCGCGGCTTTGCTCCACGTCTCCCCAGACCAGGAAGCCCGAGGCAGACGGGCTTCCTGGAATCAGCCGCTGATCAGTTTCAGCAGCAGCTGACTTGGGGACGCCTGGGGTTCTTAAGTTGAATCTGTATGTACGTCGGAACTGGCGTCCAGATTCAGCCTGTTGAAACTGACACCAGTTCTGACTTATATACTGTAGTCAGCCGCTGGTCAGTTTCAGCAGCGGCTGAATCTGGACGCCAGTTCCGACTTACATACAGATTCAACTTAAGAACAAACCTACAGTCCCTATCTTGTATGTAACCCGGGGACGCCTGTAGTTGGCTACTTTTATATTGGCTTCGGATCTGCTTTCTTACAAAACTCAGACTGGAGGCTGTTACTCATCACAAGAGCGTTTGTAGATTCCATGTAATATTCTGGAAAAATAAAAGGCATCTTTTCTGTTCTCTTCTCAGGTTCATGCAAATGTGGAAAATTCTTGGAATGAGGAAGAAGTATGGCGAGTTGAAATGTATATCTCCTTTGGAATAATGAGCCTTGGCTTGCTTTCTTTATTGGCGGTTACTTCCATCCCTTCAGTAAATAGTGCCTTAAACTGGAGGGAATTCAGTTTTATTCAGGTGTGTCTTCTTTGTTTGTTTATGTTAATAAGGAATTGTTACTAAGAATGCATTTTCATTATTTTGAATTACGTTTGTTATAGGATGAAAAATTAGGGAGGAGGGGTTTCCTCTGAAAAGTGACTAAAAATTACATCTTCTTACTCAATGGAGAGAGACCCTCTTAGAGTTGGGCAGGAAATGGTTTTCCTGTCCCACTACCATTTTCAGGCATAGTGGTGATTACCTTTAAATAACTCCTTTTACTCCCTTGCATTTGTCCTGATACATTGTAGAGAGCAATCATATCTCCTCTAATGGGACACACATGTAATACATCATTTTTACTTAAATAATTTGGGCTTTGTAAATTATAGCCATTTTAAGGGAAGTGACAGAATATTAAGTGCATTTATCAAGTTTTCTGTATGTGGTGGGATTCTTTCTCTGTCTTTGGGTATGTCTACACTGCATTCCTCTTTCGAGAGAGGAATGCAAATGCAGCTGAGCGAAATTGCAAATGAAGCGCTGATTTCAATTTCCTGTGCTTCATTTTCATAATGGCATCCAGGAACTTTTTCGAAATACCCTATTTTGAAAAAAACCTGAAGTCTAGTTGGGGTTATTTCGGAAAAAAAAAGTCTTTTGAAATAACCCTACTCCTTAAAAAATGACGTTTAAGGGTTATTTCTTTGTTTCATAATCGCTGGCCTTACAAAGGTTACTTTACCAAAGAAAATTACATTGGCATTTTCGATATAACCAGATAATCCTGTGGTAAGTGTGCCAATGCTGGAGATGATGGGCAGTCCAGGATTACCAGGTTTGTGTATACGGCCCATCATCTCTAGCATTGGCACACTTACCACAGAATTATCTGGCTATATCGACTCCCTCCTCAGACCCTATGCTACTAGCACTCCTAGCTACCTCCGCGATACCACTGACTTCCTGAGGAAATTCCAAAACATCAATAATCTACCTGAAAATACCATCCTAGCAACCATGGATGTAAAGCCCTTTACACCAACATTCCACACAAAGACGGATTACAGGCCATCAGGAACACCATCCCCGATAACAACACTGCACACCTGATTACAGAGCTCTGCGACTTCGTCCTCACCCACAACTACTTCCAATTCAGAAACAATTTCTATCTCCAAGCAGCGGCACAGCCATGGGCACTCGCATGGCACCACAATATGCCAACCTCTTTATGGATGACCTTGAACAACGTTTCTTCAGCTCTCGCCCCCTAACATCCATACTTTACTTATGCTACATGGATGACATCTTCATCATATGGACCCACGGTAAGGAGACTCTTGAAGATTTCCACAAGGATTTCAACAACTTCCACCTTACTGTCAACCTCAGCCTGGACCAGTCCACAAGGGAAATCCATTTCTTGGACACTACAGTACAGTTAAATAATGGACAAATTTCCACCACCCTATATCGGAAATCTATCAACTGTTACACTTACCTTCATGCTTCCAGATTCCATCCCAGACACATTTTTCAGTCGATTGTATACAGCCAAGCCCTACGATGCAACCGGATTTGCTCCGATCCCACAGACAGAGACAGTCACCTACAGTATCTTTACAGAGCATTCCTGAAACTGAAATACCCACCTGGGGAAGTGAAAAAACAAATTGACAGAGCCAAAAAAATACCCAGACATGAACTACTTCAAGACAGACCCAAAAGAGAAGATAACAGAACTCCTCTTGTTGTTAACTACAGTCCACAGCTCAGACCCCTCCAACGCATTATACACAATCTATAACCCATCTTGGAAAATGATCCCTCTCTCTCAGAGGCCATAGGAGAAAAACCTATTCTTGCTTACAGACAAGCCCCTAACCTGAAACAAATTCTTTCTGGTAACCATGCCACACAACCACATCATAAACCTCCAGGAATCCAGCCCTGCAACCAAAAAAGATGCCAACTCTGCCCACATATCTACAATGGCGAATTCATCACTGGTGCAAACAACATAAGCCAAAAAATCAAACGGTCATTTGACTGTACATCCACTAATTTGATCTATGCCATCAAATGCCTGCAGGGCCCCTCTGCTATATATATTGGACAAACTGGACAGTCTCTGCAGGAAAGAATCAATGGATATACATAAGGAAATATACAAAAGCCTGTTGGTGAGCATTTCAGCTTGCCTAACCACAATCTGACAGACCTGTCAGTAGCTGTCTTGTTACAAACCAGCTCTACAAGCCAAATACACAGAGAAGCCCTGGAATCCCAGTTCATCCACAAATTCAATTCACATGCTAATGGACTCAATCGTGATATGGGCTGGTGGGGACTCTACCTACTTAATAACCACTGAAGGTGCTAACAGCTCCCTGAGTGGTATCCTTCCTGTTTTAGGAATCTATCTATTGTCTTTGATTTTTATCTGCTTAGGTTTAAGTACCCATTCTCCAGATACTTAATGATGCTCTGTTTCCCACCATCCTCCCTTTTTCTTTCTCACCCTCCTCCCCTTCACCTCTCCTATTTATTTTGAATTTTCATATCCCCAACTCATAACTCAGGTCATCTGAAGAAGTGGGCTGTGTTCATGATACCATTTGCATGTTTCGTTAGTCTATAAAGTGCTACCAGACCATTTGTTGTTTTTTTCTGTAACAGACTAACTCAGCTACCCCCTGAAGCTCCTTACTCTTCTTGTCCTTAGTAGAGTAATGGGATTGACCAGAGAGTAATCTGTGGTCTCTTTGACAGGTCTTCATCAGACCTGCTAAATCAACTGCCAATGCATCAGTCTCAGAGTGTTGATCCCCACGATAATGTACATATAGTCATTAGACACACTTTTCAGGAGTAAGTCATGTGTTTGTTATTGTGCTATATAAATAACAAACAGAATAATGCACAAGCCTAGACTTTAAGAAGAGCAGCCTTTTTCTGGATAGGGTTCTGGTACAAAAGAGAGGAGATTAAAGAGGCATGTAAACTCAGAAGAAGCGGCGAGGAGTCCTGTGGCACCTTATAGACTAACCAAAGTATTGGAGCATAAGCTTTCATGGGCAAAGACCCACTTCGTCAGATGCATGTAGTGGAAATTTCCAGAGGCAGTATTACTTTCAGAAGAAAAACCCATACTCTGCTCCTTATGTGGTTGTTGGTTGTCAGATTTTTCTTTTTTGGGTGAAACAGTAACAATGTCCTCTCAAATCTTAGTCTCCTGATGGTGTTTAAATAAAACTAAGCTTTCTCTTCTTAAAGAAAGAGAAACATCTGTAAATCATTTCATTATCTCTGATTTTCTCCAATAATTGTTATATTGTATTATCCATATCGTGCTGAATAAATGAGTGGTCATTTTCATGGCATTGTCCTATGCTTACAGTGGTGTAACAACATTGATTTCATTGGAGTCACACCAGCATAGAACTGGAACAGTAAAACAGTGAATCAGGCCCAAGTTTTTATTTGTCATCTGAATTTCTTTCCGGAATATCAGGCAAGATCCCGCATGTGCCAATTTATGCCAGATAGGATCTGGCTTGTATTGTGCAATGTCCTGGGGATTTTTGTTTTGTTCTTTTTTAACAAAATGATGTAGTACATATAAAAATGCCAACACAACTCTGGAAACCATCGTGTTTACTTGAAAAAAATAAGGCATAGAAAATTACAGCTTGCTAGTTACAAAAATCTGTTACCTTCCTCAAAAGGCTGACAAAAATATTTCCCTTTTTTGTATCACTGAATCTTTTTTACCTTTCACCCTTTGGGCTGTAGTTTTCTTTAATGACAGGAAAGATATTAGGCGTGTCTCTATCTATTTTTACTTTTACCAAGAGAAAAAAATCTTGGTAGCCAGTTTTGATGATTCTTCCACTAAATATTTCCCCACTGAGTGAGATATTACATCAGTTTTGGTAGTGAAGCATTTCCCATCATTTGATAAGGACTACAGTTAAAAGCACTGCTGTCATTTTAAGGTCTTTTGGGATATTCTAGAATGAAGGCTAATGCTTTTTACTTGTAGTCTGCATAATTGTACTTTGTTGATATTTTTGTTTTACCTAGTTCCACAGATTTAAGATTAGGTTTGGATTGTAGTCCCTGCACTCTGAGTATTCCCATTGTCAGGGAAGAGATGGGGGAGAGGTGAGGAGTAGTCCAAGTCTTGATTCCACTGTCTGACCAGTAGAACTGTGCCATTGTGATGGGGAAGCAAGCAGCACCCTTTAAGGGTGTCACAGTTTACTCCTTTCTCCCTGTAAAAGCAATGGGGGTTGGGGAGCTTCTTTCCAGGGCGCTTCCTGCATAGCTACGCTGCTTGATACTCATGGCTGAGCAAATTAGCCATGTTCTCTCATTTAGCACACTGGGTAACTGAATCAGATATCACAATACCAGTTTTACTCTTACATAACTCCAATGACTTCTTTATTCACCCCTGAAACTCAGCTGTCTTTATGTTTTAAAATCAGATTTTAGATTTTGAGTAGTTTGTATGTTTTACATGTTTGAGGACCTGCTAACCTTTTAAAGTAGAGCAAGCCTCCACGCCTGTGGAAGCCAAGAGGGATGGGATGTAAATCAATGTAGAATTTAGACCTTAATTTTCATCACATTAAGATAATGTGTACTTTGAGATTTTTTTAAATACAGTTGAACCTGGCTGACATGTTGAAGTGGTATATTATGTTTATCTGATAACGAAGGATCAGAATTTAACTTTTGTTTCTTTTCCCTGTTTTGTTATTTTTCCAAAGTCTACACTAGGATATGTCGCACTGCTCATAAGTACTTTCCATGTGTTAATTTATGGGTGGAAAAGAGCCTTTGAAGAAGAATACTACAGGTTTTATACACCACCAAACTTTGTTCTTGCCCTTGTTTTGCCTTCTGTTGTAATTGTAGGTAAGATCATTTTACTTTTTCCATGTATAAGCAGGAAACTGAGAAGAATCAGAAGAGGATGGGAAAAAAGCCAAGTTATGGAAGAAACAGGTGGGACTGTTCCACATCTCTCACCAGAAAGGATTACAGTGATGTGATGGTAGAATATCATCCATTAGCATTGCTAAAATTGTCACTGTGTTTTTTGTTTGTTTGTTATAAAACTTGTGTTTTGAGGAGTTTATATAATTCACGTATAAAAGTTGCTATGGACTTTCTTGGCATAATGGTACAAGCTCTTAGCCAAGGAATAAGTAATTTATTTTTCTTCAGAAAACTGTAAAAAAATCACTTCAGTTTTAAGTTACAAGAGGGCAAACAATGTGAAAACAGGATTTTTTAATGCTACTTTGCACAACTGTATCACAAAAATAGTAGTTTTTTTAATTAAAACCAAATGTTCAGACAGCATTTCTTTGACTGATAGCACTTCCAGAGAGTGCTTCTTTTATGAAAACCACCTTTTTTCAGTTTTTTCAGAGTATAGAGTAAGGGATTTTAATGATTTAATGAAATAAACATGTTTTGAAATAGCTACGATTAGATTTTTAATGGTTGAAATTATTTATTGCATGTGTACATTACACTTATTTGTGTATCTCAACAAGAAATTTGAACCAAATATGATTTGAATATGATAAAAATTTTCAGTTGCACAGTCAAATTGTGCCTATTTAACCAAACTGATTTAAAAGTGTTGCCTGTGGTTTTAGACATATAGGCTGTCTCTACACTGCACCCCTTTTCCGGAAAAGGGATGCAGATTAGACACTTCGGAATTGCAAATCCGAGGGGGATTTAAATATCCCCCGCGACATTTGCATTTACATGGCTGCCGCTTTTTTCCGGCTTGGGGATAAGCTGGAGAAAAGCGCCAGTCTAGACGTGATTCTCCGGAAAACAAGCCCTTTTCCAGAGGATTTCTTATTCCTACTTTCAAGTACTTTCAAGTAGGAATAAGAAATCCTCCGGAAAAGGGCTTATTTTCCGGAGAATTGCGTCTAGACTGGCGCTTTTCTCCGGCTTATCCCCCAGCCCGAGCAGATTTGCAATTCTGAAGTGTCTAATCTGCATCCCTTTTCCGGAAAAGGGGTGCAGTGTAGAAACAGCCATAATGTTCACTAACATTAATAAGTTATGCAGTGAAAATCCACACCAAAAGTACAAGGACTTACATAAATTTGTGCAATCAACTAATGGTCATTGTAAAAATATAACATGCCAAAAATATTTTAAAAAATTAAAGTTGGGAGAAATTTGCAATATGAAATACAACTTTATGGGTGAAATATCCAATATCTTATGAACAATAGAGAACCACCGTAATGTTAATATTATCTGTGTATTTCTGTATTGGAATTACAGTTATGACACATGAATTTCCCTGACTCTGTCTCACAACCTTAAGATCTTTTAATATATTTTCTTATATTTATATTAAACTTTTGGTTTTTACGGCTAGCATCTGTGGGAAATATTTTACTGTGAATTTGTAAGAAACAAACACAAATATTCCTATACTTCCGTATTTTAACATGAGTTGATGATCCCATGAAATGGAAATTTCCCTCTAAAACTTGTAATTTTGGTTTCTGAATGTTGTTTCAAATGACTACGTTAGCATATTTTGTTCTTCTTTAAAGAATAGTCCAAAATTTTCTCATTTACACTTGTGCTGCTCCTATAGAAATCAGTGGAAGTTGTTTCCATACATCAGAATACACAGAATTTGGCTCTACTGTATATACCTTTCTGAATTGTTTTGTTTTTCCCTATTTTTGTAGCATTTTTTTTCATTCCTCACATTTTTGCAGTACTTTGCCAACATTGTCATAAATATCTGCAATATGACTCTGATTGATATAGCGTGAACTTAAGTACATGAAAATTCCCATTTACTTTACTGCCTACATTTGTAATGAACCCTATATTCATGCAATATGTTCTTAGAGCCAAATTCTGCAATTACTTACACCAGCATAAATCCAAAATGCCAATTGTTTTTAGTTTCATTACAAACTCAAGAACCCCAAAACAAATTTTTCAAGATTCATTATAGCCTTCAAACCTTTCAAACTTACTCTAGCCCATTTATGGTTTTGTCAGAATCGCTAGTAATCTGCAGTTTTACATAGTTTCCATCCATGTTCTGCTTTAGATGTAAGGTGTGTTCAAACTCAAAACCCAGACTGAAATTCCAGGCAGAGGACCTTCTAAAAACGACATACCTTAAAGTGAGACAAAGCGGGTTAAGTAACATTTTTTGTCTTTTGAAAACTCTCTCTCTAACCAAGAGAAGTTGGTCCAATAAAAGATATTACTTCATCCACATTATTTTTCTAATGTCCTAAGACTGAGAGGACTACAACAATACTGCATACAAAATAAATTGTTTACATGAACAAGCTAAACAATAAGTAGCTCTCTTTACTATTCAGTGAGGGTACATTTACACAGCAGAATTATTGCGGAATAACATCAGTTATTCCAAAATAACAAAGAGCTTGTCTGTACTACAAGCTATTATTTTGAAATAATGGTGAGCTGGAGGACTTCTGACTCCGACCCTTATTTTACGAGGAGTAAAGAAAGTTGAAGGAAGTATTTGCCAAAAGCTAAATTAAGCTATTTCAGTTTAGCTATGCAATTGATGTAGCTCAAGTTGCATAGCTTAATTCAATTTTTAGTCTACTGTGTAGATGTGTCCTGACAGCCCACCAAAAGAAAATGGGGGTAAACAAATGGGATATATGGTGGGTTATGGGGAAATTCAACCAATTTTCTTGACATATTTTGAAAGACATATCATATAAAAAAAATTGTGGCGACTGAAAATTTTCAAGAATTTTCATATTGAAATAGTGGGGAAATTTCTCCCTCACCCGACTTTTAAATACCTCCTACTGGAAGCAGAAAGAAGAAGAATTCACTTCTTCTCACTGTTTTTATTTGTCCCCCTTTAAAATTAAAAATTTAAATTTAAAGCTTCTCTCTTTTTTTTTGTTGCATTTTTTCAATTAAAAATCTCTCTTTTTTTTGTTGCATTTTTTCAATTAAAAAAACAAGATTTTAAAATGACAGAAAGAGTCTGTTTCTCTTTAAAAAAATCTGCCTTTTCATCATTTAAAAAGAGGCAGAGAGTAAAACGGAAAAAATATCCAAATTATTTTTTTCAATGAAATTTTTAATTTTGTTTAGAATAAAAAAGGAGGAAAAGTGAAAAATTTCAGATAAATTGAAAACTTGATTTTCTTTCCATTTTTTTTACAAAAAGAAAAACACTTCAACTAACTAATCTAAGTTCTTTTTTGTAAAATTCATGTGCTGTGGACAGTCAGACGATTCATGCTGTACTATATAAATAACTCTCAGTTATTTTATTAAATGAATTAGGTATTAGGACATAGATACTACCAATATGATGGAAAGAGGGTTACTGTATTTAAGGGGAATAAGGCTTTTAGGTAAATATGAATAAGTGACAAATAGAACTCACGTTTATTCTGTTTGTGTACAGTTCATTCCAGAACAGAAAGCTTTGTATACCCCTCCATACCACTTAAAGTAAAGAAGGAAGATATAGATGTCTCCACACTACATGGAGACTTTGCAGGATTAAACATAGAAGTGGCTTAAATTTTCTGCATCAGGGAAATCAACACCTATACACTTAGGCCCAGATCCTCAACGGTAGGTGCTTACCTCTCTCTGAAATCAAAGGTGTTAGGTACTTAAATACTGTTGGGGATCCTAAGCGCATGTCCCAGTGTATAAGTATCTTTCCACACATATGTAATTCCATTGACTTCAAAAGATCTATTTACTTTCTTAGATTTACTCATGTCAGAAATGGCCCTTAAACCCTATTTTGAAGGCTTGTGCTGTCACCCTACACAGCAATGAATTTACCCCATGTGTGCAGAGGGTCACCAGCCATTATACCAAGCTGTAAAGAGGGGTAGATGAATTTCATCTCTATCAACCTACTTAGGTGCAAATTGCATATCTTATTTCGAATCTATTGAAATTTGGCGTGTCTACACAGTGCCCAATTTTGAAATAACGCGCTATTATGAGCCATCCCTTAACCCTCGTGCAATGAGGTTTACTGGGATGGCAAAATAGTGTACCCGTTAGTTCGAAAAATATTTTGAAATAACAGGCGGCTTGTGTAGACGCAGGGTAGCTATTTTCCAGATACCTCTGGTATCCCAAAATAGCCATGCAGTGTAGACATACCCTTAGTTACCCATACAAAATCCAATTACTGTGTTAGGAAGGATGAATTCTGCCCTATGAAAACAGTGTAAGAAAACTTATACAGGAATTCATGAAGTCCTGAGGGCTGAGAATGTGGTAAATGTCATAAGCAAATTCTGCTCTCAGTTCTACTCCAATAGCCCTATTGAAATCACTGAATTTGCATGGGTGCAAATGAGCTAAAATGATTATTGATTGTGACTGTTACTATTTTAGTATTTAACATATTTGTATTGGTTTTATTAAAATATATAGAAATTTTAACTAAAATTAATCTTCCCTAGAACTTTCCATGTCTTATTTGATGTAGGAATATTTCTGTAGAACTAATACAGAATATTAGTATTAGTATTTAATATTCTTGCATTATTAAAATACAGTAGCAGCTGTGCATTGCCACCTTAGTTCATCTGTTCTATGGTGTGTGATGAACTATATTCATCCTCATTTCTATGCAAAAAGAAATACTTAATTCTACTTAAATCATACAGTGTAACAGACTGCTTAACATATAAAAAGTCATTAGAACATATCATGAATAAGTTTTTTCAGGAATATTTAAACTCATAGTAAATGTGGGCCACAAGATGTTTCTTAAGAAAATATTGTCATGGATTGATTTTTTTTGTCAAACTGTATGTATGGGAAATAACAGATATGTGCTTTTTGTTTTAAAATTACTTGAAAGTTGAAATACTAAAGTATGAAGAAATAGCTTATATTTTTGGATCAGCTAAAAGAAAAATTTTATGAAATATTTGTGCTACAAAAAGAATAATATACCCAGCTAACCTGTGTATTCATTTCTAACTGGAGCAATTTGTTGACTTAATATTAAATCTTTTGTAATTTATTTTATTGTAAAGATTGAGTCTATTTAGCAAGAGAAATAAATTGATTCTGAAAGTAAAATGACAAGGGCTTGAATAGCACATGTTCTGGATCAGATCCTGCCAACTTTTATTCTTGTAAACAAATCTTTCTTCATGTGATTAATGTCATTGATTTCTGTAGAACTGTTTCTACAAGGACATCTGTGAGTTCAGATTTACAGGATCAAGACCTAAAGCCAAAATTTTCAATGTTGGTTGCCTAAAGTTAGGCACCTAAATCCGTATTTAGATATCTCCATTATTTAGGCATCTAAATATAGATTTAGATGCATAACTTCAGCAATCTATATTGAAAATGATGTATTTTATGCGACATTGTATTTACCATTTATTGATTGTAGGTATGTCTGTATAGTGTGTCCTATAGAGTACAAAAATAACTTCATGCTCTTCCTTACTATATGCCATAACAAAATACCACATAACATATAGTGCAAGTCTGCACACGTTATATCAGTAAATGCACATTTCTATGCAGTAAATAAGTGGAATGACATTTTGGAACATGTTCTTTGTTTTCTGCAGATGATTAAAATATTTGTTATCCACAATGTTTATTATATAGTGCCATAAACATATTTCATATTTGTGGTTAATTTCACAGTGTAATTCTGTTAAACCGCTATTATATACAAAGTTGACAAAATCACCTTGTTGAAATTTAAATTTTTAACAGGTAAATTATTTTGAGATTCTGTTGTATTTTAAATTCTTTACTTAGTTTGTGACAATGTTACATTTACAGTGTACTGGTGCCATGTATGACTTTTGTTTCAACATTGTGTAGCATGTGATGTGCCAACATGAGACTGTGCAGCTGATAAATCAATTATAAAATATCTTACATGTTCAATGTGTAATTAGCTATAAATGCAGCCCTAATAGAATCAATGGAAAATAACAATTAAGGCAGCTGTTATTTATTCTCAAATAGCTATGAATTTCACAAAGTATTAATAAAGTTAGGAACCGGAGTTCTTCTAAGTCTAATAAAATAAAAAATCAGATAAACATTAGATAGATTTCTTCAAGGTGTTATTTTCAGTAGTTCAGGTAAATACATGCAATGATAGTGGAGGCATATGAATAGTTCTTTTCAAACTGTACCAGAGTACAGAAGTTTTGCTTTTATTGGGTGTTCATCAATGCTTCATTACATTGGGTGTAATTCTTATAAGTATTTCCTATAAACTTAATTAACTTCACAGTCCTCAGAGTCTATTACTATATAATACTAGATTTCTACCTTTAAAATAGGGTGATACATTGAACAAGTATAAACAATGATGTCCATAGTATTTGTATACTGTTTCTCATGCCTTGCTGACAATGTTTGAGTGAACATATTAGGAATCTGTTTTGTGCAATACTTACTTCGTGGTTCTCTCTGTCATTGTATATTCCAGCTTTGTCAATTACTGTTTGTGTTGTCTATCTGAACAGGGCTATTATAAATGACTGGCAGTGCTTTCACATATTTTTCCATAGGATCTGTTTTACAGCAGGATCAATAAAAACTTAATATTAAATATTTTGACTTGTTCTTAATTTAAGTTATTTTATTTTGTTTTTCTTTAAAATGCATTTGTGCTTTGATTAATATGGTTCTCTGGTAGAAGGCTGTGGGGGGCCTTAAAAATGCTTCTGTAGAGCACATTTGTTTCTTCTAGAACAGTGTTTCTTCAACTTTTTAAGATGGAGGAATACCAAACAAGATTTTTTTTTATGAGAAACACCAAAGATTTTTTGTTGAGCCAAAAAAAAAAAAACCAAGGCTGGTGAAAAGTTATTGAACAACAACAACAAAAAGAAAAATAGGATCGGGGGAAAGTTATTGAGAAAAAAAAGGTCGCCTGCCCCTTTAAGGGCAGCCATTTTTAACTCTGTTCTCCGTGGCTCACCTCTGACTGCCTCGCGACACCCCGGTGTGCCGCAGAACACAGTTTAAGAAACACTGCTCTAGAATGAGCTGGATGACAGTTATTTTTTTAAAAACACACTGAGGGAGGCTGCCCCATACCTTATTACAGAATATTTATGCTTCTTCTCTTCAAATTCTACACATTAAAGTTAGTAACCTAACTGCCACTGACATCAACAGTCACAATTTCACCTGTACACAAATGATTGAAATTGGCAAGTTTATGTTGCCTTATATAACTTATAATACAAAATCATCTCTTACAAACAATGAAATAGATTGTTCCATGTACAAAATTAGATTTTTATACTTCTTTCTAATTATACCTGGACTGTCTCACTGATTAAAATGTCACAATTGGTGTCTGGTTTTGCCTAGTTTGTTCAACTCCTGCACCATTTTCCAATACAGGCAGTCCCCAAGTTACGCGGATCCGACTTATGTCGGATCCGCAGTTACAAACGGGGTTTGCTCCCCGTCTCCCTGGTCTGCTCGTCTCCAGCAGACCAGCAGACCAGGGAGACGGGGAGCAAACCCCGTTTGTAACTGCGGATCCGACATAAGTCGGATCCGCGTAACTCGGGAACTGCCTGTACTGTAAACAAATGCAATTAACTATCCATATCCTTTTCATGTAGTAGTAATTACTTGAATTTGCAATTCCAGATGGTACTTCTCAACGTGCCTCAATGAAGGATACATATGTAAAATGTTCGGATCATGGTAGAGATGGAAAGGGACAAATGTATTTGACCACAAATATATGCCAACTGTGGAAAGGGGTAATTGGGTTGAGATGCAAGGACACATGAGGATGGGGACAGCTAAAACAAAGGGTTTAGGAGTTTGAGGTCCCTAAAAATCCTTCCTCTCCCCCCCGCCCCTTAAAAAAAATCCCTTGTTTGATTCTTGTTCCATATCCAACAACCCTCCAAATTCATGCCCAAGCATCTGCTCAGCTATTAATTCCCTCTCCCTCAACTCCTCCTCCCTGATTCCTAAACCTCTGTATTGCATCTGAGAGGTGCAAGAAATAAATTTCTGTATCAGTTTAAATGAAATATTACTAAGAGTAGTGATTGCTTTTACAGGTTGGACTTCCCTGGTCTGGCAATCTCTGATGGTTCCTGGATCAGGGATTTTGCCAGAGCAGAAGAGGTAATTTCTGGCCCCCCTGCTACCATCTCCCTCCCATCCCATCCCCCCACCGGGCTTCCTGGCTCCCCCACGTAGCCCTGCCGAGCCATAGGCCCAGCTTCCCACCCCCTCCCTTCTGAAACCATCTGGGCCGTGTGCTGCCTCCCCATTCCCCCACATTGCACCAGGCTTCCAGCCTCCACACGCCTTTCAGCACACCAGGACAATCTGAACCCGGAACAAAGGGTTATGTTGCCACACCAGAGAGTTCTTGTTTATGGAAGTGCAACCTGTATTTGTTATTTGCTTCATAATAGTATCTAGGGACCCTAGCTAGGATCAATGCCCCCTTATGCTAGATGCTTCACAAATATATAATGTATGATTGTGTGTGCCATGAAAGGAGACAAAGGACAGGAAGGAAATAAAGGCACAGAGGGGTAAAATCACTTGCTTAGCAAGGTCAATAGTAGGTTAGTAGCAGTGCTGGGCATAGACCTCTGATGCCCTATCTATTAGACTATACTACTTCTTGTTGCATTAGGCAATTTAAATTGAGCTTAGAAATAAAATTTACTGAAATGTCTTCTCTCAGAAGTGATTTTATGTGCAGTGATAACAAAAACTTCTCAGGGTCCACCATTGTAAAGTACTCAGAGGCATGTGGTGGGGGTTATTTAATATTTAGGAAGTTAATTAAAAGTTTCTGATGGAAAACACTATACGAAGGATAAGGATTATCAGTTTGCAGTGAAAGAGATGGCTCTACCATATAAGACGGTTGTTTGGGATAGCATACTGTTTATAAAATGTGTGGTTTGCAGGGGAGGATGTTTGCCTAGTGCAACAGAATCTGTAGAGTCAGCCCTATACAATGTTGCTTTCATCCCATTTAAAAAAGCTTGATTCATGAAGAAGATGTAGTGAGAGCAAATGAACCATGTGGCAGTATGATCTTTGGAACACTTGACCACTAATGTCACATGACATAAGCTTATAAATTACAGAAAACATTTCCGAGTTTACATATGGTCTCTATGCATTTGTCAGTCAAATAACACGCAGTTAAAGCTATAAAATACCAGTGTAGTTTTGGTCTATTTCTGAAATTCAGAAAATTTAGTTCAGCATGTGTAACATGCACACTGGCTAAATGTGGTGTACTGTTCCATCTAGTGGCACTTAGGCCACTTACAGAGAGAATAATAAGTCTGCTCTACAGCCTTAGCTAAGTTTTAGCTCATGTGGTAGAGGCTCTGTCACTAAGTTCCAGAAGTCCAGAATTAACTGCCTGGACAACAATTCAAAAAATATATATAATCAGATTTATCCAAGGTTAAATCAGTTGCAAACCTGAAAACATTATCAAAATAATCTATATAAGGAAAACACGGTCAACATTGTTCAATAAGAAAAAAAAACACGAGTTAAAAGCTCAAATCCCATATAACAGCTAAAGAATTCATAGTGCAGCTGAGGGGTGATGGGTGTAAAATTGGCCTTTGCACACCTACAACCAGGTCCACCATTTTCTAGGCCATTCTCCTAAAATAATTTAGAGCAACTGCCAAGCTATGACTGCTAAGGAGGATCCCTTTGCAGCCCTGACCCTAGCCTAGAGATTCCTACCCAATGGTGAACAACCTGCAGCTCCAGGGCCACAAGCGGCCCATTGAGGTTCTGCATGTGGCGCCCAAGACATTTTGTTTACCTTTGCCCATAAGCAAGGTTGCTAGATTCTGTTAGTTTCTTTGCACATAGTTTTTTTTCCTGCCCATATTACTAAAATGACATACACCTAAAGCAAGGGCACATGAAATGAGATGTATGCTGATTGTACACAACATTGAATATGAGAGCCATGTATGCCCTCTGCATCCAATCAAAATGATGTTAGGGGGGTTCAATCAGCACACTCCGAAAATACCAGGTATGAGTTAGAGATGTTAAATTGCGTTTAATCAGCTAATCACGCAGTCGATGGAATGTCCATTGACTATTCGATTAGTTGATGAGGGGGGAACTGTACAGCCGTACTGGGGTTAGCTCCTAAAGCCAGAATCTTAATACATTTAAAATGCAGAGACGCGGCATCTGGGACCAGGCGCGAGCCAGGACAGCTGATTCCTGACCTGCACCCAGTCCTCCCACTGTGCCTCTGCCTCCCCTTTCCCCCTGCAGAGACAGTGCTGGGGGGAACTGGCTTTTAAGATAAGTGGCTTTTAAGATAAGAAGATCCTATGATGAAATCTAGGAATTCATCTTACCAATGTCAGAGGGGAAGTACTGAGATTTGGGGGATGTGGAGAATCCAGGATGGGAATTAGGGTTCTGCCTGCTACCAGATTTGTTCCAGCACCTCTGAGTCTTGATCTCTGCTTCCCAGGAAATCTTTCACTCTGCTTCTTTAGCCCTTCCAGCTCTTGCTCTCAATTCCACATTTCCCCCTTCTCCTGGGTATGCACAAGTTTACATAGGGGCAACCTTAACAATATTTTCATTGTAGAGGTACTGGTGCCCCATACCCCTGTTCTGCCTTGGGAACTCCTGCCTTTTTTAATTGTAACAAGGAGGATGGCCCCTTTAAGAAACTTGTGGCACTCCATCCTGTCCTGTTAGCCCTACCTGCAGGGGCAGCCCGTGAGCCTTGGCAGACTAGGCAGTTGCCTAGGGTGCCGCCGGCCCAGGTGCCCGATGATGACGTCACGGGGCGCTGGGGCACCCCATCATTACATCACAGCCATTGATGGCCGAGCAGGCGGGGGCGCCAATCGCACCTTCCGCCTAGGGCGCCAGCTGCCGCAGCCGGCCTCAGGCTGCTCCTGCCTACCTGGCCACACCTTTGCAGGATTTGATTTAAAAAGAAACAACCCCATAAACAGGGGACTGGTGGGGGAAGCAGAGCAGACAAAGTGGTCTGTGGTGAGTGAGGGGTTGTCAAGAAGCAGAGCCTGCAGCAAAGCCAGCCTCTGGATAAATAAGGGTATGTCTACATTGCAAAGAAAAATCCATGGTTGCTCCATGCCCGCCAGCTCAGGGTTGTAGGGCTCTGGCTGTAGGGCTGTTTCAGCACCATATAGATGTCTAGGCTCAGGACACCCTCCCACTGCAGTTTCCTACAGCCCAAATCCAGAAGTCTACACAGCAATGAAATAGAGAAGAGAGCCAAAGTTACATAAGAACGGCCATACTGGGTCATACCAAAGGTCCATCTAGCCCAGTATCCTGTCTACTGACAGGGGCCAATGCCAGATGCCCCAGAGGGAGTGAGCAGAACAGGGATTCTTCAAGCAATCTCTCTCCCACCATGCATTCCCAGCCCCTGACAGAGGCTAGGGACACCATTCCTACCCATCCTGGCTAATAGCCATTGATGGACCTAACATCCATGAATTTACCTAGTTCTTGCCTGAATCCTGTTAAAGTCCTAATATTCACACCAGCCTCTGACAAGGAATTCCACAGGTTGACTGTGCGCTGCATGAAAAAAAACTTCCTTTTGTTTGTTTGTTTGTTTGTTTGTTTGTTTTAAACCTGCTACCTATTAATTTCATTTGGTGACCCCTAGTTTTTACATTGTGGGAATAAGTAAATAACTTTTCCTTATTCACTTTTTCCACACTAGTCATGATTTTATGGACCTCTATCTTGTCCCCCTTTAGTCTCCTCTTTTCTAAAATGAAAAATCCCAGTCTCTTTAATCTCTCTTCATATGAGACCCATTCCAAACCCCTAATCATTTTGTAGCCTTTTTCTGAACCTTTTCCAATGCCAAGATATCTTTTTTGAGGTGATGTAACCACACCCGTATGGAATATTCAGGATGTGAGCATATCATGGTTTTATATAGAGGCAATAAGATATTCTCTGACTTATTCTCTATCCCTTTTTTACTGATTCCTAACATTTTGTTTGCTTTTTTGACTGCTTCTGCAAGCTGAGTGGATGTTATCAGAGAACTATCCACAATAACTCCAAGATCTCTCTCTTAAGTAGTTGTAGCTAAATTAGTCCCCCATCATATTGTATGTATAGTTGGGATTATTTTTTTTCCAGTGTGGATTACTTTACATTTATCAACATTAAATTTCATTTGCCATTTTGTTGTCCAATCACTTAGTTTTGTAAGATCTTTTTGAAGCTCTTCACAGTCTGCTTTGGTCTTAACTATTTTGAGCAGTTAGTATCATTTGCAAATTTTGTCACCTCAGTGTTTACCCCTTTCTCCAGATCATTTATAAATAGGTTGAATAGGATTGGTCCCAGTATGGACCCTTGGGGAACACCACTAGTTACCTCTCTCCATTCCTAAAACTTACCATTTATTTCTACCCTTTGTTTCCTGTCTTTTAACCAATTATCAGTCCATGAGAGGACTTTCCCTCTTATCCCATGACAGCTTGCTTTACTTAAGAGCCTTTGGTGAGGGACCTTGTCAAATGCTTTCTGGAAATCAAAGTACATTATATCCACTGGATCCCCCTTGTCCACATGTTTGTTGACCTCCTCAAAGAACTCTAGTAGATTAGTAAAATATAATTTCCCTTTACAGAAACTATGTTGATTTTTCCCCTACAAATTATTTTAATCTATGTGTCTGACAATTTTATTCTTTACTATAGTTTCAACTAATTTGCCCAGAACTGACATTAGACTTACCAGTCTGTAATTGCCAGGATCACCTCTAGATCCCTTTTTAAATAGTGATGTCACATTAGCTATCTTTCTAGTCATTAGGTACAGAAGCTGATTTAAAGGATAGGTTACAAAGCACAGTTAATAATTTCTACAATTTCACATTTGAGTTCTTTCAGAACTTTTGGGTGAATACCATCTGGTCCCAGTGACTTTTTACTGTTAAGTTTATCAATTTGTTCCAAAATCTCCTCTAATGACACCTCAGTCAGGGACAATTGCTCAGATTTGTCATCTAAAAAGAATGGCTTGTTATTTAGAAATAACTCTTGCTTATGAAGAGGAATAAGCTTATTTTGAAATAGTTATTTCAAGAGTTATTATTTCAAAATAACTTATATCAAAATAACCTGGTTATGTAGACATAGCCTTAATGTCTGTGGTTTAAAGGTTTTGATAAAAGTGTGTTTAGTGTAGGAAATATACACAACAGAACAGGGGTGTATGTTGGGTATGGGGAGGCTATTTCAGAATCTATCAACGCTTGTCTACACAGCACAGTCTAGTGACCTGCATTCTACTTTTGCTGCTGCCACTGGCCTAGTAGTGACCTTGTATAAGTCACTTCACCTCTGTGCCTCAGATTCCCCATTTGTAAAATGGAGATAATGATACTGGCCTCCTTTGCACAGATTTTTTAAATGATTTTTAAAAACATAATAAGATCTAAGTATTATTGCTTCACAGAAACAGCTCCACATACAGACACTTTTTCCAGATTAACTACAGTCTTTTAAACTCACATTTTAAATTAATCAATAATAACTGTCAATTGTAGACAAGCCTGCAGAGTGTGGGAGGAGGAGGTTGATGTGTATAGGAGGCAAAAAGACAGACTGTGTGAAGGGAATGATGGGGGGTGAGGTGGGGCAGAGGGACATGCTGTGAGAGTGTTTCCATAGAGGATCATGTACAGGAAGGTTTGAGGGACACACTGTATAGGGATTATAGAACCATAGAATCATAGAATACTAGGACTGGAAGGGACCTCGAGAGGTCATCGAGTCCAGTCCCCTACCCTCATGGCAGGACCAAATACTGTCTAGACCATCCCTGATAGACATTTATCTAACCTACTCTTAAATATCTCCAGAGATGGAGATTCCACAACCTCCCTGGGGAATTTATTCCAGTGTTTGACTACCCTGACAGTTAGGAACTTTTTCTAATTTCTATGGCAGTGATTGAGGGACACATTGGGAAGGGATTGTTGAGGGGAAAGGCAGATATATAAGAGAGGCAGAGGGATGTACTGTGAAGGGGTTGCCACAAGTATGGTGTGGAGAGGGACAATGTGACGAGGTTGTAGGAGGTGGGGGTTGGTATGCTGTGAGGGCTGTATTATGTGACGGGATTGATGTGTAAGACAGGGTGAGAGGGATAATGTGTAGGGGAGACAGATGGTTGCTGTGACAGTCTGTGCTCTTATGCTCATTCTTTGTACAAAATTTATCATAGACTTATAAAAAGTATATCTTGTGAGGTATCATTTGAAAACTCATGATCTGCTGAACATTATTGTCCTCATTAAATGTGTGGCAACGTTCTATGTGCTATTATTAAAATTCTAATGTATAAGGCAGACTTCTTCCCCGGAAAAAAAGGCTAACCATTCTCTCAGCCAGGTGTCAGCATAATCAAACAATCACCTAGTTAAGCTGTCATTCTTTGACAGGAAGCATGAGGTGAGCAAAAAATTTACATCTTGGCAAAGAAACAGACTTGCTTTTGTCTGAACCCCAGCTGATGATTGTAGGAGAAAGAAAGAGCCTGAAGCACGGGACTGGTGTTTGAACCAAAGTAAGCAAGGGTTATACTATAAATAATAGACGGGCCATGTCAAAAGCAGATGTTTGCCTGCAAGTCAGTGTCTCTTGGCACTAGAACTGTTAGCACTGACAAAAGCAGGTGAAGTATGTAAATACATTCCACCAGGACAGTAGGACACCCAGCTCAATATATGATAAAATAGTTTGAAACAATAAGGCTGTGTCTAACCTACACCCCTCTGTCGGCAGAGGGATGTAAATTAGACGTTTCAAAAGTGCAAATGAAGCGGGGATTTAAATATCCTGTGTTTTATTTGCATAATCGTGTCATGGCGCTACTTTGAACAAGCGCCATTTCGAAACTGAAACCGTGGTTTAGAGGCGTTTTTTTCAACAACAGGGATCTTTTTTGAAAGATCTTGTACTTT